TTTGACATGTGTACAATGCCTTCATTTGTACCGTCATTCTCATTTGTGAATAACGGTCGCCAACCGGCTGGCAATGACGTTGTGTCTACAGCAAATCCGTGATTCTGTGATGTGATGAAGCAATGTCCAGTGCCTTGATGGGTGCACGGTTGATTGTGACCTCGATTACCGTATCTAGAGATTCAGCGTAATTATTCGTATAGACAAGGAAGACACGAAACATGAAATTAATTTTGGGGAAGTATATGGAAGTCACGAAAAAAGGGAAATATTATCATCTATTGTGAGGACTGAAACAGCAAACATATGGAAGTACGTAAAAAACCAACTTGAGCTTGTACGTCTTAGCTCCAACAGCACGCGCTAACAGCTGATGACCTAAGCAGATACCAAACACCGGCTTCGTCTTCTTCTTCAGGAATTCGCTCAAGCGATTTACCAGCTCAGTACACCTTTCTGGATCACCAGGACCGTTTGAAAGGAACAGTCCGTCAAATGCTGTAATGAGGACAAAAAGTCATAGAATACGTAATTGTAAAAAAAAACATCACGATCCTGTAACTACAAGTCGTTTTTGGATGTTACAATACATATATCAAAAATCCTATAACATTTAGTAGTAATAGTAATAGTAACAAAAGATTCACTACGGATTGAGCACCAGTCTTGAGCACACCCAGGAAACAACAGATACTCCACGTAGATCTATTCCATCATTTTTGATGATAAAAAATGCCGCTACAGTAACCCGCGTAGCACACGGATAAATGGTGTATTCTCGTCAACTTCGTGGTAGGCGACCATGCGCTCAGTACATATCGAAGTAGTTTCCATAAGTATAGTAAGTCTACCTTGTCCTTTGACTTCCCCTCACCTTCATTTTCAAATGGGTGATCCCACGGTACAACTTTCACGCGCACTCCTCTTTCCACCATACATCGAATTTGATTGTTTTTCATACCGCAATCCACCGCTAGAACGGTAATTGCACCAGAACCAAACGTCTGTGGTGACTGAAAGAGATAAAATGAGAACGATTACTGAGAAAGTTTCTTACATATTCTAAGAATGGTAATCAAAGCGTTGCTCCACCTTTCGTGACACGGCTGCCACCAAGTTGCTTTCATTAATATCACGAAACGGATACGCCGACGGTTCGTCGCTTTCAATAATTATCTGCAAATCATCATCACCTGACCTTTCCGAAATGCAGTCTTCATGACCTCCAAAAGCTTACCTTAGCTTTCATTGTTCCTACTTCCCTTATTTTCTTTGTAAGTTTTCTTACGTCGATACCTGCCAATCCTGGAACGCCAGCCCTCTGCAAGAATGAGCTCAGCGACTCCACGGCTTTCCAATGGCTGTGCTCATTTTCAGGACATATTCTGAAGTTTGAAAATTACACTTTAATAACACACACCGAAAGATCAAGACCCTTTTTTTTCAAGGACAAGGCAAAATTGTATTCTAAAGCATTCAAATTCGCGGTCATGCCGTGCAAATAACGGACATAGTTATAAATAACATGTAGCTGATAGTTTTAGCTGCAGTAGAGTGGATGGTTGTCCCGGCAGCGTATGTTGGAGCGCACTGTTCTCGGTAATGCGAAAGTTTGGTAGTGCGGTGCGCCTTGGTCAGTTTTGTGTAACCAGATTCTTTGAAAGATTCAGCAGCAAAAAAAACCAACAATAACAAAACACAATAAGCGAATTAATCCGAATTTACAGTACTTGTCTACAATCAACGCCGCTGGCCAAACACGGCTGCTCTCGAAATGCTTTGGCAATCCTAGTGAATCAATTTCTGAAGGATTTGGAACTCCATAGTTTCCAATCATGGGATAAGTTAGTGTGAGAAGTTGTTCGGCATAACTGGTATCTATGTGAGCGGATTCCATATAACGCATACCGGTTGGAAACTCATGTCATTTTTGTGTTGAACAATAACCTTGAAATGAAATGCAAGAACGATAGTCACCTATCATGTAAATCTATCTTCATGAAGTGATTGGATTTTACTCAATGTCACACACACACTTTTGGCTGCGCCGAAGAGTATGGCGAGAAAGGTAGAGCCATCGCATAGATACGCGTTGGGCTTCATGGGTCTCAGGACATTGATGGAAGTTCTACAACTTCGAACTTTGAGAGAAGGAAAACAAAACAAACAGCTCAAGAGTATGGATTAGCGAAACTTCGTAAGTGGTTTCACACACAAAGGCCTTTTCACTAGAGGTGGAACCGAATTTCTGGGAATATCGACCTTAACGATTTTATTTTTTTTTCTTCTAAGAATCTTTTATGAGAAATTTCTGGACTTAAGGTTTGCTCGTGTGATGAAAAAAGCGTTTTAAACTAGCTTGGAAGGAAGCGTGTGTGAAGAGCATTGGGCTCGTGCGTACAAAGGGAGGAAAGAGAAAAGAGAGACATCGAAATTAAATGAGGGGAGAAGGGCTATCCAGGAAGGTCATCCAATATTCGGAGAGGCGATGAAATGGAAGACATGTAAGGCAGAATGGCAAAGAACGATCATATACAATGCGAAGCAACGCGAACGAAGTTATTCGTTATTCAACTTGCGTGCTGAAAACTATCCGAAAATGGAAAACTGCGCAAATTTTATGATTCGACTACCAAAAGCAGTACAGGTTGATAGGGGACAATTTTTGAAACATCAAGCAAATAGCCTCTTTTTCCATTTTACTGTGCCGCGTCAACTGTGAGGAAAATTTTTGTTGAAGAAGAACAAAATTGGAAAGAATGGATAAAAATGTAGCATTGATAAGAAGTATGACGGCAAACAATAGATTGTGTAAGAATTGGGATGAAAGTTCCCTAGCATATAGCAGTCTAGTCGTACAGCAACAAAATGAGATCCCTTGACCACTCTGACCCAGGATTATATATGCAGGGTACTCGTGAATGCGCGAAAAAACGTTATGATAAGATACAAACGCCTATGAGCCGCATAAGATCCACAGGCAAGAAGGAGCGGGCACAGCGCAAGGATAGGTCATTGTTGCAGAAATGATAAGATTGATTCCTCTCTGCTCCAAAGAGTCATAGATCTGTGGCAAGTGGAGCTGTCCGGAAATCAATTCAAATAATTTCCAACCAATACAATAGCTGCTGTGCTACTTCATGAAGATTTCAAAGGTGAAAATAACAAAGCGATAAAAAAGTACGAAGCGCAAAGATCGCTAAGAAGCCCAATAAAGTATAACAGAATCTGGGGAAATTTCACTTTTCGAAAAGTGATAGTTAGGGCTTCAGAAAATTCTAACACGCAAAAAGACGAGTCTAGCATCATTTGGATGAAGCCCATACACCCGGGAACCTTTTTCAAAAAATATGTAAACCTTCAGAAGTTAGCGATTGTTTCACACTGAATTGACACAAATTAGGACAGCGGTTCACCGGTACAGGTGATCGCATGCTGGCCGGATTAACAAGGCATTCTAGAGAGGAACCTGCATTAATGAAACATGAGAATCCCTCTAATAAAAGGCACAGGCGTGAGCCCATCTGAGGAATTTTTGGCATCAGTTCTCTGTTACAACACCAAGCGTCAAAAAGTTTGCTGAAGTTTATCTATACGCTGGAATAATACCAGCGTACCATATGAACTTTCACCCTTTAAGTGATTCCAATTCCATGACTGCACTTAAAAAAGCCAATACGGCAGATTACGTGGTCGGCACAGCGAACACAGAGCGGAAAAAATATGAAAAAAATGTAAGTCACAAGCATAGGCTAAGGCATAGGGAAATAAAAGAGTCGATGTTACCTGTATATAACAGTTGCTAGGCCGCTTTCACGGACAGCCAGATAATTTGTGATCGAAGTCTAGCGCCGTCTCACTGACCGGACGATTGAAATTGCACAGCTGTCGCCCTCAACTGAAAATGACCTTGAAGTTCGCTGTTGTCGACAGACCACCCATAGAAAAACAATGACGATAACTTTACTTCTGACGGGATAGAACTCAAAAATTCATGAAAGAGAGCTTGCCAGAAAGAGTTCATGTATTTCGAGGGATCAGAAGCTATGTGTTATTGTAGGACTCGTTTTGGAAAGCTCCCTTACACTTTTGCCAATATTTATACAAGAAATTTGGCCACTAATGTACTGCTGCAACCACTCGGAGAAAGAGGAAGCAGAGGAAGAGAGATCGATTTTTTTTCTGCTGAACTTCTTCAGAAGGCTAATGACGATTCTAATCATTCATTTTTGACCCTGTCGCCAATTGTTGCCGATTTAATGCCATGAATTCCTACTTTTCCACATGGAAAGGGAGAGGTAAGGATCCGACGGTAGCAACCTGGTGCCAAATGGCGCTGGCACCAAAAGTAAGCGTCGTGATCAGGCACTTCACCATAAAATGATTACACGAAAATGAAATGAAAGTAATATTAATCAATCAGATGAACGAGAGCGAGCAGAAGAATTAAATAGATCTTACAAAAAGACTGCGCTAGTCAGTAGAGATCCTCTGATTAGCTCTGACGAGGATGGTGTTGGTAAACTCGCGATCAGTTGTGTTTTGACTAAATCTATATTTCTGATATGACCACGTAAGTTTACATCCATTTTGCGCACCAATCACAAATCAGAAACCAAGGTAATCAGCAGGGAAAAGGGATGAAGAAAGACAACGAAGAAGAATGAGAAATGAAGAGTGGAATAAAGCGAAAGATGACATACGACCAAAACCGCACCACTCATAGGCGTCGCAGCTTTCGCGATTCTGCGATTTTGATTACAACGTTAGGCTGGTGTCAGAGACCGCGATCCGTCGCGCAAATCGCGCGAATCGCAGAAATCGCAAGTGCCCTTGAACATTTGAAACACTGAATATGAAGCAAAAGCAGAACATAAACAGTCGTCATTCAACCATCAACACCTGAAGCAGGGAAGATGGCGGCAGGATAGAGACACCTCGCAGTATCGATCGGAGCACTTGTGATTTTCCGTGACCCGAAATCGCGCGAAACCTGCGACGGATCGCGGACTCTGACACCAACCTTACGAATGAACGAACGAAATCGCAGAATCGCGAAGTGGGAAGTAGGTTTCAGGCTTCGCGATTGCAGTTGTGAATGTGACGGAGCGCAAATTATCCGGATCAACAACTACACTGCCCATACGCAATTCTGGCATCGTTCCAGTTAGTTAGCGATGGATTGCGATCGCTCCATCGCTTGTCCGTCGCCGAGTGTGACGTCGGTCTTAGTCCGCCGATGGCGCGTATCTCGAAACTGCCACGAGGCGACGAAATAGTAACTGCCCCTTGGACTAAGCCTTAGAGGAGCAGACGAACAGAGCACCGCTTCGCCGCGAGGCCCCCTTCTGAGTTAGCACCTACGATAGTAGGAGAGTAGGAAATTAGGATAGTAGTAGATTAGGATAGTGCGCTGACAAGATTAGATATGTATTGATCTATTCGCTTGAAGTCGCCCAATCTACTACTCTCCAGCGATTTCAATCGATACGTATCCAATCTTGTCAGCGCAATCTCCTACTCTACTACTATCCTAATATCCTGTCGCCTACTATCCTAATCTCCCGAGTCGCGAACTATGAACGCTGAAAATGCTTGGCGCTCATCGATTGAAATGACTCCGCCCAATTAGCATTCGTCGAGCATTACGTGGACATCTTCAGTCGATATGTATAGGTAGGTACCTTCCTTTCAGCATAATCGCTACATCGTGAGAAATTTTAGTGGTAACTTAAACGTGTTATTCATAATCTTGACTCATTGACAACAAAAAAAAAAGCTTTTTTGCAAAAGAGAATTAGCAGTGCACCAATATGAAGACGTGACCAATCTGGAATTGATAGGAATATTCCACAGAAAAGCTGTACTTCAACCCCCCCCCCCCAAAAAAAAAACCTGAAAAATGCAAGCTATATCGTTCGGCTTCAAGTAAAAAGAAACCAAGGCCAATCAATGCAATGGCATGTTGTTTACCATTTCTGCTGGATAGTCATCACTACAGCCATAAATAGAATAGAATACAATCCAACAAACGCAGACTAAATACGTTTTTCGTAACTGTCAACTGGTTATGAAAGGCGAAACGAACTTTACACTTTGGGAAATCGCCGTGTCACGAGGGTCATTCTTGTCATTCATGGCGAACTGAACCCCTTCGTGATCTTGCATCAACTGATTGTGATAAAGATCGATTCCCGGTCAAATCAAATCCACGGTGCAATACAAGCGCGATGGAACGCCGTATTTTTTTGAATACGGTAGGCGCCTGTATGTAACTATACACACTTTTAAAAAACGAGAAGAGTGTCGGGTGCAGACCATACACCACAAGCGACGAGAGCCTCCACAAAATGTAAATGTTTTTTCAACCTCTATCCACTTTTTTCTGACTCTCGAAGCACGAAGCCTCGTGTGAAACTCCGCCCACTTCAGCGCACGTCACGCCCACCGTCAAAATTTACTATTTCCTCTTTCTCCAACTTTTTTCCCGGTCTCCGGGACTTTTGGAAACGAGTTATTGTTCGGTAGCAGATTCCGCCCACCTCAGTGCACTCTCCACCCACCAAAAGCACTTGACTCTTTTTCGCCAACCTCTACCCACTTTCCTCCCTGTCTCCGCGACTCCTGGAAGCGAGTTAGATTTTGGTGGCTAGCTTCGCCCACTTATGGTTAGGTGCATGCTACACCCACCATCAGCAGTCAACCTTCTCTCTTCTTTGATCTCTATCCTCTTTTCTCGTTTCCCGGAAATTGGAACCGTGTTTTGATATTTCGCTGCAAAGCCCGCCCACTTCAGCGACTGCTCCACCACCGGATGGCAGTTAACCTCCCCCGTTCATCAACCTTTATTCTCCTTTTTTTCGGTCGTCCGGACTTCTTGGAACCGAGTTATGAAAATTTATAACA